GCAAGGGGAATGTCCCCGGGGCTCGGGACTCCGGGGTCGGGAGAGCCCGGGACAGAGTCACTCCCCCAGAAGCCTGGAAGTAGGGAAGGGAGGGGGCGGGAAAAGGGAGAGGAAGAGAGGGAAGGAGACGGGGCCCAGAGGGGAAGGAGACGTGTCCTTGTCCAGGGTCCCCAAGGTTTCCCCAGGAAAGTGCTCGGTGTCCCAGGGGGCCCAGGCCAGGGTCCTGTCCACACCTTTTCATTGCTTCCGGGCAAGTGTTTGCAGTCCAAGCTGAGACCATCGGGCTGTTTCCATTCTCTCCGGGCTGGGGCTCTGGTGGGGAACTCCTCAGCGGCCCCTGTGGGGTGTCAGGTACACCAGGGTGTGTCCCCGCCGAGGGGGAAGCCAGCACTCGCCACCAGCCCTTCCCCTCTGAGGAGTTCCTTGCCGGCTGTCTTGGAAGGGGTTCCGGAGGCCCCCCTGTGTGCTCACGGGCAGTCGCTGCAGTCCGGGAGAGGACCTGAGTCTCCTCACTCCGGTGGCCCAAAACTCAGGTTCTGGGGTCCCACCCGTCGAGTCTGGGTCTCGAACCCCTTGTGCATGCTGTGTGTCCTGAGCCCATTTCCTCTTGGCAGTACCTCCTGGTGGGACTGGGTGAGGATTCAGTGGGACTGTGGAGCTGGGCTGGGTGGCACACACCTGTAGTCCCAGCTACTCAGAAGGCTGAGGAGGGAGAGTCACTTGAGCCTAGGGGTTCGAGATCAGCCTGGCCAATATAGTAAGACCCGTTTTCATTGAGAGAGAGAGAGAGAAAGAGAGAGAGAGAATGTGTGTGTGTGTGTGTGTGTGTGTATGTATTCACTACGCCCAGCACAGCTCAATAAACACTGACATCCTTGATTCTTGTTAACTCCCCAAGAAGTCAGTGGCACAAAACAATGAGGACCTGCTTGGCTGAAAAGGCTTGTGGTGTTTGGGAGAAAAAAGAAGCTCCCCACATCCATCTGACCCCAGGCACCATTTTAATCTCAATGCAAGCAGAAGCTAGTCAGAAGTTGGAGTTCTTTTTCTTTCTTTTTCTTTTCTTTCTTTCTTTTTTTTTTAGAGACAGCGTCTCACTATCTTGCCTAGGATGGTCTCAAACTCTTGGCCTCAAGCAATCCCCCCGCCTCGGCCTCCCAAAGTGGGGGGATTGCAGGTGTGAGCCACTGCGCCCAGCCTGAAGTTTATCTCCTTCGTGTGAGTGAAGGCCACCATGGGGCCGCCGGGCCTGAGCTCCAGGCGCAGGCAGGGCTGTGAATCCAGGCCACCCGCGCAGGAAGCGAGCTCCTCTGGGCACACGCACGCCCTCTGGTCTCCTCTGCCCACCCAGGTCTGCCTCCTCTCCACACCTCACCACCTGGGGCCCTGCCCTGGTCTCCAATGTCGCCCTCTACTCCCCCTCTGCCAGACGGGGTATGTGGGACCCATGAGACCTGGGCATGGATGGGGCCTGTTCTGGTCCTTCTCCTTGAGATTTTATCTGCTGCCAGTCACAGCCCGAGCTGTGAGACAGGGACAGTCCTAGACAGCGTTTTTCATTTCTTTCTAAACCTTGGAGTCACTTCTTCACAGGGACAAGCCAGGGCTCGGGAATTGCCTGGGGCCCCACGGCTGGTGAGGGTCGGAGGCTGGGTTCAAGGGCAGGTCGGAGGATCCTGCACCAGTTCCTCATGAACAAGCCTGTGAGCCAGGTGCTTCCTTTTTTTTTTTTTTGAGTTGGCGTCTCACTCGGTCGCCCAGACTGGAGTGCAATGGCCTCTCCCGGCCACTGCAGCCTCGAGCTGCTGGGCTCCAGCGATCCCTCCGCCTCAGCCTTCCAAGTAACTGGAACTACAGGCGCGCGCTGCCACGCCCGGCTAATTTTTTGATTTATTGTAGAGATGAGGTCTCGCCAAGTTGCCCAGGTGGGTCTCGAACCCGCGGGCTCAGGCAATCCACTCACCTCGGCCTCCCAAAGGTACGAGATTACAGGCTGAGCCACCGAGCCTGGCTGAGCTGGGTGTTTCTTGTCAGCCCAAAGTGAACTCCCAGCCTGTTTCTGGGGTGTCTGTCCTTCCGCCGGGGAATGGGGATCCAGAGGACAACCGATTGCTGAGTGGCGGGGGGCTGTCATGGTGCCCACCGTGAGTTGCTTTTGGTGTTTGCCTTTGCTGCCCGAAGTGCTGGCTGGCCCTCTCTTAGGCCGACCAGACCCGCCATGCTGTCTGCCTGTGCTTCTGGGTGCCACTCCTGCTCTCCCTGGGTGTCGTCCGGCAGCTCAGCACCCGCTGTGACTCTGTACATCGAGTGGTCAAGGTGAAGGCGAAAGGCCCCAGACGTTGAATCCTTGAGTTTGAAGCCCAGGCCACTTACTAGCTCTAAGTGGGACTTTGAATCAATAACATCATGCCTTGGTTTCCTCATCTGTGTAATGAAGATGAAAATCTTGCAGCCAGCCAGGCATGGTGGCGTGCGCCTGCAGTCCCAGCTTCTAGGGAGTTTGAGGCTGCAGTACACGATGATCGTACCTTGAATACCCACTATGCCGCAGCCTGGGCAGTGTAGGGAGACCCATCTCTAAAACAATACATCCCAAAGCCAGATTGAGGCTTGGTTGAGGTCCTTTACACCAAGGGCCAGACAGGTAAGTATGCAGTCAACAAACAGCAGCTCTTCTCTGTGCCCTTTGTAAAGCTGGGCTTAGCAAGCACCTGCCTTGCAGATGGTCCCTTGGGTGGTGAGCTATGGGACCCCTAAGTCCAGGCACTGCCTTTCACACAGACCCTAGACTTTTCCTTTGGTACCCGGCTCAGTGTGACCCTGAGGTCCCCCGGCTATGGCCAGGGAAACGTGTTGATGTCTCTGCTCCTGGCTCCTCCCAGCTGTCCACGGCGGCTCGGTCCTCCAGCAGACGCCGGCGAGCATCCAGGTCCTGACCGACCAAACGGTGACACTGTCCTGCAAGGAGAAAAGCTCCCCCAGTAGCACGCGCGTCCACTGGCTGAGACAGAGGCAGCCACCGAGCGGTGACAGTCACCACGAGTACTTGGCCCTCTGGGATTCCACGAAAGAGACTGTGCTTGGCGAGGAGGTGGCCAGTGACAAGCTCGCAGTGTTTCGGAATGGAACCTGCTTCCATCTCAGCCTCCGCCGCGTGCAGCTTGCAGACAGCGGCGTCTACTTCTGCATGGTTGTGGGGAGCCCCGAGCTGACCTTCGGATCGGGAACTCGGCTGAGCGTGGGTAAGAATTGGCCTCCCCGCCATTCACAAGCACTGAGCGCTGTGTGTGCCAGGCTCGGGGGCTGCCCGCTCTGTGCCGTGCCTAATGGAAAATCCGTGTCAAGGCCTGCCCGGCAAGCACTCGCAAGTGCTTTACTCGGTTCTCCTTAGTGCCGTGCTGCCAACCCCCGGGAGGGAGGTGGATTTTGAATCCCATTTGAGGTGGAGTCAGGTGAGATGGAAAGAGCTGGGTCAGACACAGGTGTCGTCCTTGTGGGAACAGGGCAGTGTGTCCTTCGGGCCACATCAGGGACGCCCGAGGCTGGACCCAGCTGAGTCTCAGGTCTGACAGTGGTGTGAGAGATCCCCACGGGATGTGAGCCTGGGGAAAGAAGGCTCTCGCCACCCTGGCACACCCAGCGAGAGCGTTTTGAGGAATCGTATGGGAGGGTGCCCTCGTGCTCTCTGTGGGGTCTGTGACTCGAAGCTGCACCCTGAGGTCCAGGAGGTGAGGAGACTGGACCCCAGGCCCAGGTCTGCTGCCGGCTTGCCCCATGCCTCTGGGCAGGTCGGTCCCCTCCCTAGGCTCCAGTTTTCTCTTCTGTCTCATGGGCTGCTGGTGACCTCTGTGTCTCCTTAAACTGCCGATCCATGAGTCAGGTCAGCACTCCAGAAGAAATGTATTCTGAGTAGCAGATGGAATTTTAAATTTCTTAATAACCATGTTAAAAACGAAAAAAAGAGCCGGGCTCGGTGGCTCAGCCTGTCATCCCGCGCCTTTGGGAGGCTGAGG